GCCTGCACTGCATGGTCAGCAAGGGCTCCCTTAGATCTGGGCCAAGCATCAACCCAGACATTGGGTACTCACTGTCTCCAGCAGTTTCTGTCCCTCCAGCTCACAGAAGAGCATGCTAAGTAAACAATGGTACTTGACACATCCATCTGTCTGAGAACTTGGTACCAACTCACACGTTTCTTTTGGGAAATGTGTGAATTTGGGACCATCCTCACATCCCCAAGAATCCGGGCGTCCCAGCTACTCTGGGCTCGTCACGGTCAAGCTGCTCCTGCTGATAGATGCCCCCGCCCAGGTTTTACACACCACACGTTGTACTTCTGACCTGAGTCAAGGAAGGGCCCCGCCTCCTCTTCCAATCTGGACATGCTGCCGTTGCAGGACAAGCCTCGTAGGGAAGGAATCCTAGCTTCAGAGGGAACTGGAGCCCTCGCGAGTGTAATGAAGGCTGAATGGGTGCTGTCCGACATGCGCTGACTCCAGGTGGGAGATTCTGGGTCACAGACAACGTGGTCTCATAGTCGGGCTGTTGCTGGGTCTCAAAAGGTGTCAGCACCGGCCACTGACAGGAGCTGTGGAGGCCAGGATCTGAGCAGCCCACCCAATGCTTCTCCTGCGCAACCGTGCTGTGAACAACACAGGCTCACTTGGCTGAGAATTAAATCAGGATTTTTAATGTGCTGATTTAAATATGTGCATAAGTATAATTTTAGGCTGAACTTTATACATTAATATCAGAGCTTTCCATTCAGGCGATTAGACTGGAGCCATTTGGAGTGCCCACTGCGAGTGGTTCTTTCTCGGCTGCGGCTTCTCTTTTCAAGTACCCACTTCTTTTGGCTCCACTCCTCACGGAAGCTCAGCCATCTGGCTTCCTCTGAATCCGGTGTAGACCTCATCTTCCCTCCCTGCTTTGCACTAGCTGCCGTCCGAAGTCAGAGCTGCACACACACAGTGCACTCAGAGCCTTGGCGGGGAGCGAAGTCTGAGAGCAGTCAGTGTCTCAGTTTACAGGGGTTTATACAGGCACACTCACCACACGCAGATGGGGAATCCTCTCACCTCCATCTGGTGGAGAGATCAAGTCTCTATTTATGTGTGTACTCATGCACCTGTGTGTGCACGTGTTTGAGTACATGTGTGTTTATGAGTGCATATGTACCTGTGCACACGTGTTGGTGAATTCATCTTCATGTGTGTGTTTATGAGTATATATGCACTTGAGTGCAAGTATTTGTGAATACTTGTGCACACACGTGTTTGTGTATGCACCCAGGCCTCCAGTTCAGTCCTAAGGGCACCTTGTAGCGCCATATGTGTGCATGTGCACATGAACCAAGATAAAGGGCTACAGGAAACACACCCACATGTTGACCGATATCTCTAGGCTTTGGGGTCTGGTACTTTTGAGCCTTCTCTGTTTCTCCATTCTCTCCGAGGTTGCTTTCTGTCTCGGTAGCCCAGGGGAGTTCCGAACTTCTAGGTTGATAGTAGCAGAACCGTGTCCCTACCATTCCCCTGCTGTGCCCGTTCCTGGCCCCGGCTCCTGCTGCCTCTTTGCTACCCGAATCCTGAGATTTGTGTGCTTGCACTGAATGTGCTTGCAGGTGTGGCCTCTGTGTCAGCTCACCTCTGTGGCCACCTTTTCCATATGTGGACTTGGACCCATCTTGATTCCCCAAGAGACATCACTCTCCCAGTGTAAAGACACCGCTCTCACATCCACTCTCTGCCTGCCAGCACTTCCCCCACTGCACCTGGCCCTCTGGCTTACAGGGACACATTGACACCATAAACAGACCCCACATGCTGTAGGTACCCAGGCCCTGGGAATGACGGCTGTCATTGGCTATTGTTGACAGTCTCAAAATATGGTCACTGACAGAATGATGACCCGTGTCCCAAGTCCACAGCAGCTGTGTGACATGCTTCATGACTGGCATCGTCCTTGCAATGGATGTTTGGAGCCAAACCGTGGGGGCCACATCCTAATTGCTGCTGAGTGCTGTGCAGCCCTGGGGAATGTGGCTCCTTTGGGCCTCCTACTACCTGGGAGGCCCGGGACGATAACTGGCACATACAGTTAGCACTGAGTGCACAGGGGTTTTAGGACCCCCTCAGACACCCTGTTCAGCATGATTCTCTGGAGCTTTCTGCCTGCCCTGCCCAGTAACTTTTGTCCCCACAGGAGCTTGGGCTGGGGCATCAGTCAACTGAAAGGGCGTGACCTCCAATTCCACAGAGGAGCAGCTTGGGGTCCAGGGACTCAGTGTGAGCAGAGGATGTGGTGGACGGACCAGGATCCCCCAGCTCAGACAAGGGGCAGGGATCACTGCAGCATTAGGGAGGGGTGTGACTGGGAGGAGGGTGCAACCTGGTCTCTCCAAGAGTGAAGATAGCACAACTGGGACCCAGGAGACACTCAACAGCTGGCTCCTGGTTTCATCCTTGCCCGCGTATCTGTGATCACAAGATAAAGGCATCTCCTTTATTTAAAAACAAACAAAAACCTGAAGCCAGCAATGAGTTGTCCCCAAATGCTACGGTGTCTGTCAACATAGGCCCATCCCAGCACTGGTTTTCCCAGAAGCCCTTAGTGTGCCCTCACAGACCCCACAGTCTGGAAGACCCATGGTGCTACTCCCACCCACACCTGTCACGTACACATTATGGTTTGCGTGTCTGTTAAGCTCAGTCCCTGCCTCCACCCAAGGTCACCTCCAAGGACCCTCCCCAAGCCTGTCACCTCTCAAATGCTAGAGGTGCATGTGACGCCCTTGTCTGGGGGCCGTATGAGGCTCCTGGGGCTGCCATAATGAGTGGCACAAGCCAGGTGGCTAAAGACACCAGAATCTTACTCTCTTCCAGATGTGGAGGCCAGAGGTGCACCATCTGGGTGTCTCGGGGCCACACTCTCGTGGAGGGTCCAGGGAGGCTCCCTTCTGCCTCTTCCTGCTCCTGAAGGCTGCAGGTTTCTCTGTGTCTCCTCTTGCATGGACACTCATCACTAGGCTTATGGCCCACCCTCATCTCATGTTACCAGTGATGTCTACAGATGTCTTTTTTAAAGCAGGATTTATTGAGAAGACAGAAAAGCTCCCACAGTGGGAGAGGACCCAAAGGGGTTGCCTACAGATGCCTTTCAAACAAGGTCCTGCTCGCAGGTTTTGGGTGACTGTATCCCTTGGGAACTCTGGGAGGTACCCCTCAGCCCAAGCAGGTTCCATAACCTGCTGCCTAGAGGTGGCTGAGGTATTGCCCAGCCCATGTCCCCATGGAGTGCCGCCTTCCCACGACTCTGTGCATCATGGGATGTGCATCATGGGACTGGGGCGAGGCTTATGGCCAGATAGCTCTGGGTCTGTGGTCACACTGCCTGTGTGGCCCCAGCCCGCCTGACACCAGCAGACCACATTGCCCATACTTCTCAGAGCACAAAACACTGTGTGTCAGGACCTCCTGGGTGTATGCCCCCCGGAGCAGCTATACTCCTGAAAGCGTGGGTGTCTTGCTGGGTGTCGACACTGGTTGGCTTCCCAGGGACATGCCACCTCCCTGTTCCAGCCCCAAGGGTGTAGACAGAGGAAACGGGGCCACGGTAGCTGAAGGATCAGCCCCTCCAAGGTTGGCAGGACAGAAAACTGTCCCCGAGCACATTCACACAGCGCCTTTGTGCCCACACAGCAGCTCCCATAGTGCACCTGTGTCTACACCTTCCCTTCCTGGAAGGACACTAGTCAGGTTGGATGAGGGATCCTCAATGTTCTCACTGGACCTCCATCACAACTGTTAAAGGCCTTGGCTCCAAACACAGTCATGTTGGGAGGTATTGTGGCTTAAACTTCAGCACTTCTATTTGGGGGGTTCACAATTCATCCTGTGACAAGAAGCAGTCAGGATAGGGAGTTCCTTGAGGTTGGCCAGGAAGCCCGACGCCAGGGCCCATGGCGGCCTCAGGCCTATTTCGGTTTCTTCTGGTGGGAGACCAGCTCTGCGCCCTTATGATGCTGAGAGGCTGTGCTACCTGCATCCCCAGGGCTGGGTGTAGGAGTGAGGGACTGGAGGGCCCTGCTAGAACCCGGGATCTGTGATCCCTCATAGGCAGGATATGGAGGCTGAATTAGGGCAGCAGCCTGGTGGAGTCCAGCAGGAAGACAGGCATGTTTTCTGTTAACTGGGCCACACTGCATCCCAGTGCAGCTCATTTTGGCATTTTGAACAAGGTAGACCCAACGCCCTCCAGGCCAGTCCAAGGCTGATAGTGCCTTGGGGCTCCTGAAGCCTGTTTCCCCCATTCATTCCCCATGCCTTCCAAACTCCAGACCGAGACAAGTTTCTTTTTCATGCCAAAGGGCACAAAAAGCTGCCAGTGTGTGAATTTAAGGAGAACGAGGGCAGGACAGATGTCCGATGCAGAGATGCCGCTGAGTGCATTAGGTCCCATCAATGGCAGTTGGTGGAGAACAACTGATGGAGAGCGAGGTGGCGGGTGGAGTGTGGGTCGGGTTGCACCAGGGGTTCCCACAGAGCCCAAATTGGCCCTGTCTCAGCTCAGAACCTCTGATCTCATCTCCTGAGGGCCTCTCTCCAGGGGGCTCTACTCTCCTCATGGCCCCTGACGCCACACCAGCTCCTCTTCCCATGGATCCAAAGGTGCAGGGCTCGTGCCCCCCTGGCCAGGCAGAGCACCACCTGCACACAGTGGAACTGTGGCTGGGAGACGTGCTGCCCTGAGTGTAGGTGTGGTCTGACGCTGCTCTTGGATTGGGGAGGGGGCTGGCTGGTGAAGGGGGACCCCACCAGACTGGACACCCAGCAGCAGGGCCTTCGGCCGTCCTGTGTGACAGGGTGTGCCGGAATGTCCTACCTGGTTGCAAGCACCTCTGGAGAGATGCAAGCTCACCAACCAGACATTCTTCTCACAGGTTTTATCCAGATGCCACTTGGCCACTCCCGCCACGCCACTGACACCGAAAGGTCCCACACCACCGGGCACAGAGATGCCCCGGCACCTGATGGGGGACAAGTCCTTCGTCTCCATGCCACCTCTCTCTTTCCCCAACCCAACACCAGCAGCAGAGAATGGCTTTGACAGCACACCGCCTAGCAGGAGGGCATCCCCAGGCACGCCCCTGAGCCTCAGCTCCCTGCGCTCTGCCGCCCGCAGCCCCCTGGATGCCTGCAGCCAGCCGCTGTGCCGACCCCGGGCAGAGAAGCATGGCGCCCCGGGGGCCCCCGAGGCTGGGCCAAGCACAGCATGTGGCTGGGGGGACTTTGCGCCCGCATGCCTGCAGGTGTGCAACTCGCCACGGGGTGTCCTGCTGTTCCTGTGCGCAGCATCCTTCCTGCAGGGCATGACGGTGAACGGCTTCATCAACACAGTGGTCACCTCCATCGAGCGCCGCTTCGACCTGCACAGCTACCAGAGTGGCCTCATTGCCAGCGCCTACGATGTGGCCTCCTGCCTCTGCCTCACCTTTGTCAGCTACTTCGGGGGCAGTGGGCACAAGCCACGTTGGCTGGGCTGGGGTGTGCTGGTCATGGGTGCTGGCTCGCTGGTGTTTGCGCTGCCGCACTTCACCACCAGCCGCTACGAGGCGGAGGCGGACCCGGGCATAGGGATGTGCCCTGCCATGCACAGCACAGCCTGCACCCACCGTCCCTCGGGCCTGTCCCACTTCCAACTGGTCTTCATGCTGGGCCAGTTCCTGCATGGTGTGGGCGCCACGCCCCTCTATACCCTGGGCGTCACCTACCTGGATGAGAATGTCAAGTCCAGCTATGCGCCCGTCTACATTGGTGAGTGGAGCTAGCAGGGACAACGTGGGGTGGCTGGAAGGTGGTGTGGCACGGGTGACATCTGGCCCCCAGCTATCTTGGCCGGGGCCCCTGTGTGTCACCATCTTTCTGGGCTGGGTGAAACAGCAGGTTGTAGAGGTGACACTTTTTTCTGAGAACCTTGCATGACCTGAGTACGGGTCCTGGCCCGCCTTGCCAGGGGCCATGGGGCAGAGTCTCCAGGCTTCAGTGGTGCCGGGTCAGTCAGTGGCAGAGACTCCCACTCCTGCTGGGAGCCTCACACGTCCCTGAGATGAGTTCTGGGTGCAGGTTAAGGGACACAGGACAGAGCCCTTGGTCACACCCATGTCTCGCTGTGCACACTGCATCTGCTGTGTCCAACCACTCGGGATGGGGAAGGCAGAGCATGCCCGGGAGAGTCAAGGTTGCACAAAGCAGCTCATAGCTGAGCTTCTCAGTCGCCTGAGCTCAGTGTTCTGACCATGTGTGAGGCAGCCACACCACTGCACCCACTTGGCCACGGTTGTCTTCCCAGACCAGAGGGGCTGGGATCAGTGACTCCAGTGAGAGGACATCCCACCATGCCAACACATCCAAGCCAGGTCTTTGGGTGTGTGAATGAGGATGGCCGTGGGGTCCTGGGTCCTTGACCTGCCTGGGGCACCCTGAGGCCTCCCAGGGTCAATCTATGGGGTTGTGTCGGCACTGCCCTCACCCTACAAACGGGACTTTGGGGATCTCTGCTCTTTCTTGAGGGTCCAGATGACTCACAGTTGGCTTCGAGGGAAATTCTAAAAAGTCGACAGTGACCGGTAGCAGACCCAGGGAAGCTGCCCAGCCCGACCCTGACTTAACAGGACCCATGGGAGAGGGGCAGGCAGATGCTGGCACGTGCTGTGGGCTTCTCCTGGAAGCTGGGCTCCATGCAGCCCTCCATGACTCCTGGTGTCGTGTGGTGGCCCTAACACCTCTGCTTCCCTTCCAGCCATCTTCTACACAGCGGCCATTCTCGGCCCTGCCGCTGGCTACCTGATCGGAGGTGCCCTGCTGAACATTTACACGGAAGTGGGCCACAGGTGAATGAGCTGGGCCCCCTGCTCACCCAGGTCTTACCTCGTGGACGGCACCAGCTGCATATGGGGCAGAGGGTTCATGTATTGTCAGGAGGGGCTCTGACCCAGCAGGGTCCAGGGTTCGAGGGAGGGGTCAAGGCTGGCCTGAGAGGATTCGGGGGGTCTATGGGAGGCTTGGGAGCCTGGCCTGGGTGAGGGCAGGACAGACAATCAGCAGCCAAAGGCCCAAGCCTCCCAGAGCGTGACAAGCCCAGGTATCCCCTCTGTCTGAACTGAGGTATTTGTGTCTTTCATTTCCTTGTATCTTTTGTTCATGATGCAATTTCTGTAAGTTTAAGCAAGAGAGCCAGAAAGCAAGAGTAATGGAGAGAGGGAGGGAGGGAGAAACAGTGAGAGAGACAGAGACAGAGATGGGCAGACAGAGAAACAGAGACAGTGAGAGACTGAGACAGAGAGACAGAGGGGGAGAAAGAAACAGAAAGACAAGGACAGAAAGAGACAGAGAAAGACAGACACAGAGTGACAGTGGAAGAGAGACAGGCAAAGACAGAGACAAAGAGAGACTGAGTAAGAGAGACAGAGGGAGAAAGAGAAAGAGACTGAGATAGAGACAGAACAAGGCAGAGAAACCGATGGAGAATGAGACAGAAAGAAAGAGGCAAAGAAGGAAACAGATACCAAGAGAGAATGAGTCAGAGAGAGACAGAGAAAGACAGAGAAAGTGACAGAGAAAGACAGAGACAGAGAGGCAGTGGGAGAGAGACAGACAATGAGAGAGAGACTAAGAAAGAGAGACAGAGGGAGAGAGAGAACGAGACAGAGACTGAGATTGAGACAGAACAAGGCAGAGAAACAGATGGAGAATGAGACAGAAAGAGACAGAGTAGACAGATACTGAGAGAGACTGAGACAGAGACAGAGAGAGACAGAAAGAGAAAGACAGAAAGACAGAGAGACTGAGACAGAGAGGCAGAGGAAGAGAAAGACACAGACACAAAGAGACAGAGACTGAGATTGAGACAGAACAAGGCAGAGAAACAGATGGAGAATGAGACAGAAAGAGACAGAGTAGACAGATACTGAGAGAGACTGAGACAGAGACAGAGAGAGACACAAAGAGAAAGACACACAGAGACAGAGAAAGAGAAACAGAGGGAGAGACAGAGAAAGAGACAAAGACTGAGATAGAGACAGAATGAGGCAGAGAAACAAATGGACAATGAGACAAAAAGAAAGAGACAGAGAGATGGAGAGACAGAGACAGAGAGAGAGACTGAGCCAGAGAGTCAGAGAAGAGAGAGGGAAGGAGGGAAGAGGGCTGCTTTGCCAGGCGGATCCTAGGGCCTCTGTCCTTCCTCAAAGAGCTGCCTGGCTGTGACCAGCTGTCTGCTAGGCAGCTTTACGGCTCGGCCTCTCTGCAGCCAGCACCTCTGTGGAGGTGTCTAGGCTCTGACCTTAGTTGGCTGCCCTGGCCCAGGTTGGTAGTAGGGTGGAGCGTGTGTGTTCTGTGGGAGGACCTGGAGGTAGGTGGGCTCAAGCCCCCAGGCTGGACCCTTGGCTTGCTCTCTGTGTCCCTCTGGCCCCAGGCCCTGGACTGCTTTGCCAAGGGGGCAAAGCAGGGTCCAGTCTGGAGGTGCCGTGTATCTTGAGGCTGCCAGTGTGGCCGGGCTGGGTGTCAGCACCCCCTGCATCTGTCCCTCCTGCTGCTCTCCTGGCCTCTGTGGGCCTCCGCGGGCATCTGCCTCCTTCTCCCTCGATGACCACCCTTCCTCTCACCCCATGACTCCTTCCCATTCACTGCCCCCCAAGAGCACTGCATGCAGACTGTGGCTCGCCCTGACAGTCCCTTTGCGAGCAGCCCCTGGTGAGCTCCAGCTGAGCCCTCTGTTCCCCAGCATCACGAGGCCCCGGAGACGCCATCTGTCACTTTCTGCACTGGGGTGGGGAGGGACGCCCAGGCCTGCTGTTGCCTAGAAAGCCTGCCCCCTACACGCCCCACAGCATCCCCAGTCCCAAGTGTGGTCAGGGCATTGCACCGTCCATCCTGGGCTGGCCCAGCTGTAGGTGGCCTTGGCTTTGGCCTGCAAGGAAGGAGTAGGCCTGCACTGGCTGGAAAGCAGAGGGACCCTGGAGATCTTCTCAGAGGAGAAGGCAGCAGTCACTCAGCATGTGTGTGAACTGTGGAGGACGCGGGGGTTGAACACTGACCTGACAGTGCTCCCTCTTCTCACAGGACGGAGCTGACTATGGAGAGCCCGCTGTGGGTGGGTGCCTGGTGGATCGGCTTCCTGGGCGCCGGGGCCGCCGCCTTTCTCATCGCTGTGCCCATCCTTGGCTACCCTCGGCAACTGCCAGGTGGGCATCCCTCACCCTTGGTCTTGGTCAAGGCAGGACTCCTGCTACTGCTTGGTCTTTCTCTGGCCATGAGCAAGTTTGCACAAACCCTCATGCTCTCGGGCAGAGATCTTGACCCTAATCTTCCCATTGGGTAGAAGGCACCACGTGGCTATGGTGCAGGCCTGACTGGCATGCACCCGTTCTGCTGCCCCATGGCCTCCCTCCCCACTGCGTCTCCCCCATGCATTCTCCCCGTGGGATGTGGAACAGACCATGGTCGCCTGGTTCTCCTGCAGCTGTATCTGGGCACACGGGGCAGCCCCCAGTGCCCCCTCCCTGTGCCAGTTTCAAGATCTGTGGGGGCCTCGGCCTCAGGGAACTACCGGGTTCTACTGACTCTTTGTCCTTCCAGGCTCCCAGCACTATGGGGTCATGAGAGAGTCAGAAATGCAGCAGCTGAGAGACAGTGGCCCCAGGGCGGCCAGCAACCCAGACTTCGGGAAGACCGTCCGTGACCTGCCTCTGTAAGAATCTGTGGGTCACCATGTCATGACCACAGACCCTTTGAGAGCCCTGAACTGAGAGAGTGGGTACAACCCCTGCAGGGTCACGGGATGAGGGCACAGTCCCTGTATCTCCATGTGACCTCCGACCTGGAGACAGGCTCACTTTTAAGAGGGTATAGATAGAACTTCCCAGGCCAAGGGCCGAGAGCCTGAACTGGGGCTGAAGCCATGGGTCGGTCCCAACAGGGCCAGTGCCTCAGCCCCATCAGTGAGCCGAGGCCCCTGGGAACTGCACCTGGCACCATATGGCCATGGAGCAAATACCTTTCACACTAGTGAGTTTCCCTCAGGCCTCCGTGTCTCCAGGTCCCAAAGGAGCTACATTCAGCCAGAGACCCTTCCCCAAGAGTGACCCTGCCTGGTGACCCTAGCCCCCACACTATGGCCGTTTCATTAAGCATCATCTGCCCTCTCCCTCCCTCTACCCCCTCCCTCCCTCCCTCCTTTCTCTCCGCCCTCCCTCCTCCCTCCCTCCTCCCTCCCTTTCCTCTCTCCTTCTCTCCCTCCCTCAGGGTCTTTAAGAACCACCCAAGAGCAGAGCTCCCTCATGCCTTCCCCACACTGCCCACCCCATCCCTCCCACCTTTCTACCCAGCAGCTGTTAGCTCCATTTCCTCTTTCTGGGCACATGACCTGGCCCGGCTCTGCTGTCTTCATGCCCTGTTGGGACAAGCTCAGAGCCTGAACCCCTGAGGCCTTAGGGAACAGTGCAGGGCCTGGGGTTCCTGGCCTCTCCTTGGGATCCCCAGAGGCTCCTGGCCTTTCCTTGGGCTCATGCTCACAGGAGGTCTCCTAGGACTGGAAGCTGTGGCCCTTGAGTGTCCCCCAAGTCCTCAGCCCAGCATAAGGTCCCTGAGCTCACACATGCTACATCCCATGGGCTGCATGGGGTACGGGGTGTGGGTGAGGAGGGCATCCCCACTGGCTGGTCTCAACTCGGGGAGAGGAAGGAGGCCCCATGCTGTCCACCATGGGAGGACCAGGGCTGGCTCGTGAAAGGTGGGGAGTGAAGGGCCGCCCCCACTTCCGGCAAGATGGGGAGAGCTGGGAACTGCTCACATGGGAGGGTGACCCCAAGGCTAAACTGGCCCGGACCCATGCTGTCGGGGGTTGCCACGACACCGTGTGAGGCTGTGTGTGCCCTCTACCCCCACATGGCCACAGTGCACCCAGAGCCAAGGGCCGGGGCGGCTCTCCCAGTTCCATGTGTCGGAAGCCTGGTCCCAGTGGGGACCTGGGCCTGGAGTCTCTTTCAACTCATGATGTGAACAGAGATGTATGCCTGGAGTCAGAGCCCTGACCTGGCTGCCAGCCATAAACAGATCCCAGGCAGCATGTCCTCTGTCAGCACCATGACACCATGACTCATTCTCGGGCAAATCCACATGAGGGTTTCAGCCCAGTGACCTGCATACCTCAGGGAGGGCCCCAGGTCTCCCATGAAGCTGACCTGGGCAGATCCCTGGAAAGGCCCTTGAGGCCATTGCCCGCCCCAATCCCAGCCCCTCCAGCCGTACTCTCTCGGGATGGGCTTTCTCCGTGTTCAGGCTTCCTTCCTTTCTTAAGATCCAGGCCCAAGAGGCTGGCCAGAAAGATGGGCTTTTCAATTCCAAAGTTAGAAAGTATATTTTGAAAGAATTGGGGTCTCCCGTTTTAATCAGGGAGGGAAACAAAAAGACGCTGTGTTCCTGCCTAATCTGAAGCCATGGGCGTAGTGTGGCCTTTCACACCCAGGAAGCCCTGCTGTTGTCTGTGGCCACCAGGTAACACCACAGCCAGGACGGACACCGGGTGGAAGGGAGGCCAGGTGGAGTCCCTCCAGGGTCAGGCGGGGCTCGGGTTCCCACACCTTCAGGTGGGCTCCAGGCTAGTGCTCAGGGAGCCAACAGGTAGTGCCCTGGTGTCACTCCCATGGGCTGCTGACCCCCAAGTGCAGACTGAGAGGAGTTGGGGAGCCAGCTAACCCATGGGAGTCATCCCCTACCCCAATGCCAGAGCTATAGCCAAGGCAGGGATAAGGTTCTTCTGTAATCAGGGACAGCAGCTTTCAGGGCGAGCGGCCATGGGCTCAGACCCGAGCCTGCAGCTCTCTGCCTGCCAAGTCACAGCCTTGCAGTCCTCCCGGTTTCTCTGGAACGCTGTGGGTGCCCTCACCTGCCGCACCCACTCCACACCCTCTGAGAACCGGGCCCTTTGTGCTCAGGGGAGTGCTGATAGCCTCAAGAACAATGGTCTCCTCACACCCGGGATCTGGCCCACTCTGACCCCTGTCTCTTCTCTCTGGTTTCTGGTATCCATCCCCCTCACTCCACCTCCCCCCTATCCAGCTCCATCTGGCTTCTCTTGAAGAACCCCACGTTCATCCTGCTCTGCCTGGCGGGGGCCACTGAGGCCACACTCATTGCCGGCATGTCCACTTTCGGTCCCAAGTTCCTCGAGTCTCAGTTCAGCCTCAGCGCCTCGGAAGCCGCCACCCTGTTTGGTGAGAAAACCTCGGATCTCATTCTCTGCATGTTCGTTAGTTCTTGGAGAAGTGAAGGGTCTCTGAGAATATCCTGGAAACACAGAGAGGGCACACGTGGTGGGTGCATGGCCCAGCCCAGCAGGTACCGTGCGGAGCATCCCAGGAGCCTAGAGAGAGGCTGCACTGCGTACAGCAGTTGTGGTGACTGCCTGGTGGGTTGGCAGGACCATGCTTCCACAGCCAGGGTGGAAGTTGCTGACCATGGCCTGGCAGAAGGGGCTGTCTTTCCTAGGTGGGCAGGCGGGTGGGTTCCAGCCACCGCCACCCGGCCTCGGCCACTGTGATTTGTCAAGGGAAGGGTTGGACCTGGCTGTCCCTGAAAGCCCAGGACTGGGGTCCCAGGGTCTCATGAGATGGTGTGACTGGAGCCCCTGGACTTGCTGGGGGGACACACTGTGGCCTTCCCAGTGTCTGCAGAGGGCAGAACACCACCTCCTTCTGCTGTATCCATGGGGCACCCTGTGCGGGGGCAGGAGATGCCAGGTGGGCATGCACAGGGTGGAGGCATCAGAGTTAGTCAGTCCTCCACATGGTCAGTCCTCCTCAGGGCTCCATTCCGGGGATGAGAAGATACCCTCCCCCAACCCTTCCAGGCCTGGCCTCCCTGGGCTGACTCCACCCTTGAGGATGACTCCTCACAGTCCTCTCCCTATGCCGATGCCCCCTGCTCCCAAAGGCCTGAGGACTCCCAGGTCACCTCCATCCCCCATCCCTGGCACCTGTGGGTCTGGAAGCCTCCAGCCAGCTAGTCCCAACTGCAGAGGTTGTGGTTGCCCTGGGGGTCACTGGAGGAGTGACCGGCCTTTCCTTTGTAGGGCAAGGGGTTGCTGACCTAGGAGCATCCTGGACTCTTCTCCCCCATCCTGCCCCACCCCTCATCCCTCAGCCCCTGGTGCACCCTCCCCTCGGCCCTGGACACAAGCCCCCTGGGGACCTCGCCCATAGAGCAGTTGGGAGCACAGGTGGGGCTGACGCTGTCGGGCCGGTAGGGCTTGATGCCCCCATGCCTCGGTTTCCCCACTCATCATGTGGTGATGGTGAGACCTGGATGAACACCCTGGCTCCCGGTCCCTGCTGAGTTCTGCCTCTCCCTAGGGTACCTGGTGGTGCCAGCGGGCGGCGGGGGCACATTCCTGGGCGGCTTCCTCGTGAACAGGCTGAAGCTCCGGGGCTCCGGGATCATCCGGCTCTGTCTGCTCTGTGCCCTCGCCAGCCTTCTGGGCATCTGCGTCTTCTCCCTGCACTGCCCCAATGTGCCCATGGCGGGCATTACAGCCGGCTACGGTGGGAGGTGAGGCCTGGGTGCGAGAACTGAGCACTTGCCCTAGCGTTGGCCGCCCTGGGGTGTGGGAGGAGGGGCGGTGCCTGGGGAGTTGACCTTTCAGGATGGGTGATAGCTGCAGGACGCCAGCAAGGATGGTGCACTTCCGCAGGTGACTGTTCCCAGGTCACGCATGCAGGGACTAGCCCTGTGTCACTCCCCGGGAAGTGTGGCATCCCTCTCTGGGCCTCAGCCTCCTCCTCTGAGAAATGGGGCAATGCCAGCTCCAGCCTCCAGGGTCCTAGGATGGACTCCCAGTGCTGCTGCCATGTGGGGGGAGCATGAGGGGAGCAACCCATCAGGGAGAGAGAGAGAAAAGAAAAAAAGATTCTAGGCCAGCACTTTGGGAGACTGAGGTGGAAGGATTTCTTGAGCTCAGAGTTTGAGACCAACCTAGGTAACATAGCGAGACCTTGTCTCTACAAAAAAACTAGCCAGGGATGATAGCATGTGCCTGTGGTCCGAGTTACTAGGGAGGCTGAGGAGGAAGGATCGTCTGAACCCGGGAGGTTGAGGCTACACTGAGTCATGATCATGCCACCGCCCTCCAGCCTGGGTGACAGAGTGAGACCCTGACACACACACACACAAATGCAGGCCAGTGGGGACGAAACCCGAGGCTGTGCCCGTGGGTGCCACCTGGCTCTGGCCTTGTTCCCACTGCCCTGTGCCTCCCCCTGCAGCCTCCTGCCCGAAGGCCACTTGGACCTCAGAACGCCATGCAACGCGGCCTGCAGCTGCCAGCCGGAGCACTACAGCCCTGTGTGCGGCTCCGATGGCCTCACGTACTTCTCGCCCTGCCATGCGGGCTGCACCACGGCCACCGAGACAGGCCCGGGCAGCCAGAAGGTGAGTGGGCCACCGCCCACAGCCCCATCAGCTGGGGCGCTGGGAAGGGGCCCCCGCGTCTCCCCACTGTAACGGCGCTTTGTTGGGCTCCTCAGGTGTACCGAGACTGTAGCTGTGTCCCTCAGAATTTTTCCTCTGGCTTCGGCCATGCTGCCGCAGGGAAATGCACTTCCGCCTGTCAGAGAAAGCCCCTCCTTCTGGGGTCCGTGTTCGTTGTAATTTTCTTTACATTTCTCAGCAGCATTCCTGCGCTCACGGCCACGCTACGGTAAGCCGGGGCCGGGGCGCGCCTGTCCAGAACCTTCTCTTGCAGCCTCTGTGGCACAGCTCTGCAGACCCCACGACTCATGCTCGCCTGGGACCCGCCCACCGGGCCCCACACTGCTGGCCTGCCTGTTGCCAGTAGCGGGAAAGACCAAGCTGCCTGTGACCTCCGAAGAGGCGCTTGCCCCTTGGGGAGGCGGAGATGTGGCCGGGGCGCGCCACCGGCGTGGGGGTGTGACTGACCGCGGCCCCTCCCGAGGCACTGACCTGTGTCTTCTATTGCAGGTGTGTCTGTGACCGGCAGCGATCCTTTGCCCTGGGAATCCAGTGGATCGTGGTTAGAACACTAGGTATGGAGGGCACAGGCAGCATGTGGTGCAGTCATGCACGGGGCCCCAGCAGGTCCCCGGTCACCTGGTGTGCAGTCCCACAAGACTGTGACACTGAGGAGGACACCGCTCCTTAAGGGCCCTGGTAGGTGCCTGGTCACCTGGCATGCATCCCCACAAGGTCATGCCATTGTGGAGGATGCTGCCCCTTAAGGACCCTGGCAGGTGTCAGTCACCCGGTGTGTGTCCCCAAGAAGGCCATGCCACTGGGTAGGATACCGTTCCCTAAGGGCCCCAGTAGGTGTCTGGCCACCTGGCGTGCATCCCCACAAGGTCGTGCCACCTGGGGAGGGCACCGTTACTTAAGGGCCCTGGCAGATGCCTGTCACCTGGTGCATCCCCAAGTCCATGCCATTGAAGGGAGTGCTGTTCCAAGACTGTCCACTAGAGGGGGACGTTGTCTTTTATTTGTCTGGAGGGCTCCTTTTCATCGGGAACTCCCAAGCCCCATGCCAAGTCCCCAGAGCAAGGAACATCTCGGGCCCCCTGACACCCCTGAGACCCCGATGGTCAGTGACACCTTCCCAGGGCCCGTCACTGCACATCTCTGGACTGCCCACCCACAAGTTTGCCGGGTACTGAAGGCACCTCTCTCCACAGGAGGCATCCCGGGTCCCATTGCCTTCGGCTGGGTGATCGACAAGGCATGTCTGCTGTGGCAGGACCAGTGTGGCCGCCCGGGCTCCTGCCTCGTGTACCAGAACGCGGCCATGAGCCGCTACATCCTCATCGCTGGTGTCCTTTACAAGGTAAGAGCAGGAGAGGGACTGAGGCAGCCCCGGGCAGTGGATGGTCCTTCACCAGCCAGCCTGGGGCTCCAGGAACACTGACCTTCTGGCAGTTCAGACCCTGAGCAGCCTCATGGTACAGACTTTCCCACAGCCTGGTGTCTGGGAGAGGCATCTCTCTACATCCCTCCTGAGCCAGCTGTCTGGGGCTGCTTGAGGCTCACGATCTAGGCAGCTCCCTTGCCCCTGCCTCAGGACTGTCTTTCCATGGGGCCAGGCAGTTGACCGGGTGGTGCCAGTTGGCTAAAGCTCTGGAGAAACAAGCAGTGGCCTCTCCCCAGAGCAGCCTGTCAGCCTGTTCCTCCTGGGCCTGGGTCCAGGGATCTGTAGGCAGTTAACTCTCACTCCCTTCCCTGTCGGCCTGTCCCCTCCTGGGCCTGGTTCCGTGGACAGTTGGCTCTCTCTCCCCTCTGTGCATCCTGAGTTCCAGTGTGTCTCTTAGCTGGAACCTGTTTTTCAAGATTTTAGAGAAACTTCTCATTGTCACTATTGACTTCTCTCCCTGGGAAGTTTGCCATTTAGAGGATAATGCACAAAACCTTCCAAATAAAAGGAGCCCCGTGGCCAGGCATGCCAGGGACCTTGCTACTGGCCCGTGGGGCAGACCGAGGAAGGGAATTCGGCTTGTAGGGTCCTGGCCTCCCAGTCCCCTGGCCCCTCAGCCCCCTGGCCTCTCGGGCCCCCGGCCTCAGGCTTTGCAGGTAGAGTCGGGGAAAGGACAGGAAACAAAGTGAGGGGTTCTCTCAATGTTAGCATCCCAGTAGCTGGGCTTGAGGAGGGACTTGCTGGCCCTGGATGGCAGTGGCTGGAGCCCGCAGTGCCCACCCCAACTGCCATTTTGCTGTCTGTGTTACCCAAGGTCAGCCAGGGTCCAACAATATTAGATGGAAAGTTCCAGAAATAAACAATTCGTACATCATATGTTGTGTGCTGCACAACGAAGTGTGGTCTCTCACCCACCTGGAACTCGGGCCCTCCTTTTACCCAGCAAGTCCACACTGTCTACACTGCCCGCCCGTGAGTAACTCCGTAGCTGTGACCCACCTTTGTGCAATGCTTGTGACCAAGTAACTGTTCGCCAAATAGTCAGAAGAGTTGTACCCCAGTGCAAAGCATGAGGAAGGCTATCTGGGGACACATGGACAACTAGCATGGTGACTGGTGCTTCCAGTGTGTGGACTGACTATCTCCACAGGCAAAACCAGGGGTGCTGAGCAGGATGACAGCATCTCCCCGCGTGCTTGCACGCAAGTGCAGGTTTGATTGCCACTCCTGGCTCGGGGTCTCTGTCTCTGTTACCAAGTCCCAGGTAGGATGGAGAGCAGGTCCAGGTGAGGGTAGGACGTCCCACACGAGGTCAGGAAGCCAGACAAGAAGGCAGTCATACTCCGGGACTCAGTTTCCAGGGCTTGACTTCTCCTCCCAGGATAACAGAAGTGGAAGGTCCTGACATTCCACTTTGTTTTCGCATAACGCTTATTTTCCTTAATCATGGCCCAAAGCACCAGAGTCACGAAGTCGCCCCTTGAGATGGGCCACAGTGGTGCTGTCCATACTTCCTTTGGGGTGAAGCCACCTTGGCATCTGGCTGGGCTGGCACCACTGCAGGTTCAGGCATCCACTGGGGTCTCAGCCCCACAGAGAAGGGGCCTCCTGCACAATGCCAGGGCCTCCCCGCTCTCCTCTTGCCCATGAGGGATGAGTCCTCGCCCCCAAGCAGTTGGCGGGGGCCCTGCCACAGGCCGGCTCTGGGATGTCTGTGCAGATGACAGCCCATGGGCTTGGCACAGCCAGCTGGACATGTCCAGGGGTAAGGTGGCCAAGAGCTCAAGTTGGGGTCAAGTGAGAGGGGAAGTGGACGGGCTGTCCCTACACACACCCTCTCATGTGACCACTCTGTTGACCACTGTGCCCGTCACCAAGTCAGTCATCAGGTCGGTCACCAAGTCTGTCACCAGGTTACTTACCAAGTCCATCACCAGGTCAGTCACCAAGTCAATCACCAGGTCAGTCCCCAAGGCAGTCACCGGGTCAGTCGCCAAGTCAGTTGCCAGATCAGTCACCAGGTCAGTCACCAAGTCAATCACCAGATCAGTCACCAGGTCTGTCACCAGGTCGACCACCAAGTCAGTCACCAAGTCTTTCACTAGGTCGGCCACCAAGTCTGTCACCAGGTCTGTCACCAAGTCAGTCACCAGGTCAGTCACCAAGTCAGTCACCAGGTCAGTCACCAGATCAGTCACCAAATCAATCACCAGGTCAGTTACCAAGTCAATCACCAGGCCGGTCACCAAGCCAGTCACCAAATCAATCACCAGGTCAGTCACCAAGTCAATCACCAGGCCGGTCACCAAGCCAGTCACCAAGTCAGTCACCAAGCCTGCCACCAAGATAGACACAAATTAGTCTCAAGGACCTTCATCAAATCAGTCACCAAGCTCATCACCAAGCCAGTCACCAAGTCTGTCACCAGGCCAGTCACCAAGTCTTTCACCAAGTCAGTCACCAGGTCAGTCACCAAATTACTCACCAAGTTAGCCACCAAACCCATCACCAAGTCAGTCGCCAAGTCTGTCACCAGGCCCATCACCAAGTCCATCACCAAGCAAGTCACCAAGTATATCACCAGACCAATTACCAAGTCAGTCATCAGGCCCATCACCAAGTCTGTCAGTCAGTCATCCACCACACCCATCACCACATCAGTCACCAAGTGAATCATCAGGTTGGTCACTAAGTCAGTCACCAAGTCAGTCACCAGGTCAGCCACCAGGTCAGTCACCAAGTCAATCACCAAGTCCATCACCAGGTCAGTCACCAAGTCAATCACCAATTCAGTCATCAAATATATCACCGGGTCAGTCACCAAGTTTGTCACTAGATCAGTCATCAAGTAGATCACCAGGTCAGTCACCAAGTCAGTTACTAAGTTTGTCACCAAGTCATTCACAAGTTGGTCACCAGGTCAGCCACCAAGTCAGTCACCAGACCTGTCACCAGGTCACTCACCAAGTCAGTCACCTGGTCACTCACCAGGTCAGTCACCAGGCTCGTCACCAGGTCCATCACCAAATTAGTCACCAAGTCAGTCACCAGGTCAGTCACTAAGTTAGTCACCAAGCTGGTCACCAGGTCAGTCACTAAGTCAGTCACCAGACCAATCACCAGACCTGTCACCAGGTTGGTCACCAGGTCAGTCACCAGGTCAATCCCCAAGTCAGTCACCAAGCCAGGCACCAGGCCTGTCACCAGACCCATCACCCCCACCAGGTCGACACAGCCTTGGCCTGTGACTGCATCCTCGGGGCCATCAGCCAGACAGGTGCTCCTGGAGACCATGGGTGTTCCTGCCTCAAGCCTGGTGTTTACCCTTAGGCGCAGTGCATGCCCTCTGCTTGCATGTGGAGGCCAGTGTGGGTGCTCATGCGCCTCTCCTGCCGTGACCATTGCTGCATGGCCCTTGTTCCCTACAAGGCCCGTGTGACCCCAGCTGTAGACAAGAAACGCAGACTCCATACCCTGTCCAGAGGCGCTGGGGCTGAGCCTGAGCTGCACACCTGCAGGCAACCACCATGTGCAGGGTCTCTGTGGCCACATGACAAGTACCACAGGCCAGGCAGCTGAGGCAGCAGAACCCAGTTCTCTCCCAGCTCTGAGGCCAGAAGTTCAAAACCAAGGTGTGGGGGGTGGTTCCTTCTGGGGACCAGCAGTCTGTGTCAGCTTCCTTGCAGCCTCAGGTGGCTCCAGGTGGGCTCCTGTGTGTGGACCCTTTGGCCTGAGCTCTGTCTGCATCTCCATATGGCCTCAAAGCTCCCTGTCTACTCTCTCAGAAGGATGCTGGTCACTGGCGTTAGGGCACATCCCAAATCCAGGGTGGCCTCTCTCAAATCCCTAACCTAGTCATGTCCACCAAGACTCTTTTTCTAATAAAAGACTGTGCACGGCTGCCCATGAGTAGGACCAGGACACATCTTTCTGGGGTCCCCGCTCAGGCCGTGACAAGCCCCTGCCCCTTACTGTGTGCCCAGCTTATAGTCAAATGGCATCTTTCATTCCCTCCTAAGCAATTTCGGTGTCCTCTCTGCAGGAGCAGTGGGGGGAGGTGGCGGGCAGGGCAGAGGGGACAGTTGGCCCGGCAGGAGATCCACAGGTCCACAGGCTCTTCCTGTGCCCCCAGGTGCTGGGCTTCCTCTTCTTCACCTCTGCCTGCTTCCTGTACAAGCCCCTGTCGGGGTCTCCAGATGGGCTGGAAAATTCTTTACCCAGCCAGTCCTCAGCCTCTGACAACCCCACCGACCACCAGCTCCAGAGTGATGTGTAACCGCCACCGCCCACAGCAGGGACAGGGTGGGTGTCCAGCGTTTCCCAAGGACCAGCATCACATAGGCCACTTGCTGCTATCAGCTTTCTTCCCAGAAGGGCCAGCCCCACCCCCATGCCACATCACAGAGGACCCTGGGGAGAGCTCGCCTCGGATTCTGGGGCCTGCGTGACCATCCCAAAGTCGAACTGAGCCCATGAACTGCAGTTGTCTGAGACTCGAAGGTATGGAGAAATAACACGTGGCATGTTGGAATGCTGCACCCTCTCTGGCCCTGATGCCATGGACGGGTCTGTGTACCCGCCCAGCCCCGACCTCCTCTGTTCTTCTGATGGAGCACAAAGCCCGCATGAGACAGGCGCCCTCAGGTGACGTGGTCTGCAGGACCCTCTACTTGACCTGTGCCTGAACGTCTGCTGTGACCTCCCGTACCAGACTGCAGTCCTGCTGCGGCAGGTGCACCTTGCCCCCATGTGTATTTATGAACCATGTTTTGCATAGAGGTGTATTTATGGACTTTGTACCTGATGTGTGTGTGAGAGCAGGCGGCAGGCTGTGGACCCCACGGCGGGGAAGCGCCCTGCTGCCCTGGGGGGTGTGTGTGTGTCCTTGGAAGACCAGGCATGTGTGAATATATTTTATTATTTAAAGCATATGTCTGCTGCCACGTGTTTTATTTCTGGGAACTCGCAAAGCATGATGGTTTCACCCATTCTTGGTATGGGTTGTGGGACTGGACTCCTGCCGGGGTCCTACCTCGGCTCCAGTGTCCACGCGGACCTCAGCGCCACTGTGAATGACCTGGACTCCGTCTACACACACTGGGATTCAGGACAGAGGTGGCCGGACACTGCTGTTGGCACAGGAGGGTGTAAGCATGTGTGCAATTGTGTGTGCAAGTGTGTGTGTATGAGCATGTACAGGTCCGTGAGCATGTGTGTACATGTATGTGTATGTGTGCATGTGTGACTGTAGGTATGTGCACCTGTGTGAGGGTGTATGCACATTGTGTGTACTTGTGTACATGTGTGTGTGGCCGTGTGTCCACTGTGTGTGCATATGTGTGAGCACATGTGTGTACATGAGAAGGCACAGGCTCTCTTGTTTATGAGAGTTCTTGGGTGGCCATGCCTCATCCCAGGAGGAATGGTGACTCCCAGGCCATGGCCCATGTGGTTCCAAGACCTGTTGAGCTGGCTCTGGGGCTTGCTGGCAGTGAGGACCCCAGTTGGAGGCCACAGGGGAACAAGGTGACGCTCTGAAGTCAGATGATGGCCAAGGGGCATGGGCATCCAGGAAACCATGGTGCTAGCTCCCCGTGGGGTGGGGGACCTAGGATGGTGGAGTGCCAGTGGGCAGGATCCCAGGACAGGAAGGCAGTGACCCTCACGCCTCGTGAGGTCAGAAGTCTGTGGGAGGGAGAAGGAGTCCCAGAGGCAACTAGGGCCGACCCCTGACCGTGTGTCCAGACCTGGACAGTGGGGACCAGCCGGACAGGATGACCCGCAAGTGGGTCATTTCCCACATCCCCACCCAGGAGCCTGTGCTGACGCCACATGAAGCAGAGGCTGCAGCGTGAGGGGAAGTTTTCTGCCCTCACAGGAAGCTCCTGCCATCCCCACCCCACCAGGCACCGGCCTTTGGGCGGGTACTGGGCCACAAGTGACCCCAGGTCCAGCCTGTCTCTGGAGATGCTGGAACCACAGAGCAAAGGTGATGCCCAGTATGCCAGGACCGGGTGCCCACAGCATGCACAGAACAAATGGGCGGCCTAAGGCCCACGTGTGTGGTGTTTCTGGGGGACCCCAGGGCCATGCACCTCTCCCAGTGGCTTATCTGCACCCACAGTGACAGTCACTCAGGATGCCACTCGGGTACACATCTACATCTGGTGCTTGGCTGTTTAACATACGTATGGTTGGACTCGTGACTGAGACCCCCGGCTGTAGAGCTGTCCTCTGGCCACAGATGCTTCCTTGAGTCCACCCACCTCCTGCCTGCAACTCCTGCCCTAGAACCCATGGAGCCGTCACCACCTCTGTGACTTCAACCTTTCAAGAGTGTGACCCAGACAGAGCTTGTGGTGTGGGGTCCCCCGGAACCAGAGCTTCTGCAGGGCATTGTGCTTGGACCTAGTGGTAGCAGAGTATGTGCATGAAGGACCCCTCGCACCTGCTCTTGGATTTCAGGGACCCCTGCCCTCAGTCTGGTTGGTCTCACTTTCCAGGAGGGAAGCCCAGGGGAGGCGTGAGGACACTGGCCCAGCCTCCCATCCCTCAGGCCACCTTCACACCCGGCAGCAGCGGCCCTGACCATGCACTGGGGAACCCAGGGTAGAGTTGGCCCAAATGCCAGGCCAAGTCCAGTAGCAGACTCAGAAGCCACCAAGGCATCATTCAGGCCAACTACACTGTTCCTCTGCATCTGCTGGCAGGAGAGTTTGGTGAGACAAAACTCCTGCCTGGGAGGGCACTGGGTCTGTCACTGACCCTGGTCTAGTGTGGCCACCACAGCTCGATGCACCGCTCTGCATCCACTCGGTTACCCTCCAGCCCCTGTGGACATTGGGAGGCCCTGGCCATCCTGACCCTGGTCCACTTGCCCAGCCCACACCAGGGAGGCCAGAATTGTGTTCTGAGCACAGATACCATCCGTGTGTTTGGAGCAGAGAGATAGTTGCTCTGCTGGGTGTGCATGGAGGGGACCAAACACCACCAGGTGCCAGGAGTGTGCACCAACTTGTGAGTGACAGGAATAGAATTGGGGCCACTAGGCCAAGAAGCCCTAGGAGCCCAACCAGACCCTAGAGGCAGGAAATTACCTCCAGCCCCAGTACGGTTCTTGGTCAGCTGTCATGCCTGGGCCTGTGTGCCTTCCTGGGGAGCCCAAGAGCCAGCAACAGGCTGGGGCTGCAGCTTGTCGGGGGCCATTCTGGGCTTGTGCCTCTGGCAGGGGGCTGCAGACCTACGTGAGGCCCACTCAGGGGGAGACTGCTTCTAGGTTGGGTGGCTCTGGTGTCATTGAGGAGTCCAGCAAGTGGCTTGTTTCTTCCCCTCCCTGGATGCTAGACCTAGGAGGAAGCTGGGGGTTCACAGGAGGGAGGAAGACCCACACCTTTCCACCACCTTGATCAGGCCTGAAAACAACAGTCAGGAGATCCCTACATACAGCCAGGGAACCCTGTTCCTGGCTGAGGTGGCCACAGCACCCTGGTGTGATCCTCCAGCGTCATCCTGAGTCCTCCCTAGCCCCATGGCTCCTCCCACATGCCTAGCCCAGCCCAGGACCTTGTCCGGGGCTCCTTCATCCCCTACATCCCAACCCCTCCCCCCGGGTCCCTCCTTACCTCTTTTTCAGTCTGTGGGGGTAAGGTCCAGGCACCTTGGGCAGAAACCTAGCTCCTCACAACCCTCTGGCACTTGCTCCCAGTCAGAGCCTCCCTGTCTGTTTTGCAGGTTCCCACCCCCTTCTACAGATGTGTCACTCCATGTCTTTACGTCAATCCCTAGGAGGAAGTGCCTCACGGAAATCTAGTGAGGGCCCTGAGCTAGGGGCGGTGAGCAAGTATAGACAAAAGGTAGGAGGGCAGGAGTGGGTGTGGTTAGAAGGTAGGTGACCAGGAGTGGGTGTGGGTAGAGGGAGGGTGACCAGGGGTGGGTGTTGGCAGAAAGAGGGTAGCCAAGAGTGGTGGGGAGGAGTGGGTGTGGGTAAAAGGTAGGTGCCCAGGAGTGGATGTTGGTAAAAGTAGGTGGACAGGAGTGGGTGTGGGTAGAAGGTGGGTGACCAGGAGTGGGTATGGAAAGAAGGTAGGTGGACAGGAGTGGGAATGGATAGAACATAGGTGGGCAGGAGTGGGTGTGGGGAGAAGGTGAGTGAACAGGAGTGGGTGTGGGCAGGTAGGTGTGCCCACGGTCTTTGTTTGACAACATTGTAGGCCTGAGCTGGGGGTTCCTTGGTCCCATGAACCAGACCCAAACTCGTTCTTCCCTCACCTCCAATTCTGGGAGGGTGTCCCCGCCCCAGGGGATTCTGGGACTTCAAGTGAGTTTTCAGGACTCTGGGGCATCTGCGAAAATCCTGGGATCATCCCCTGAAAGTAGTGTGTGGACACATATGGCCTCGCACACGCTTGCACCCACTCACACGAATATACATGAACACACATGCATGCATGTACTGTTCTCATGTGCTGTCCCTTGAACCGTGGCTCTAAACTCAGTCCTGGAGCTGACTTTTATCCAGACTCTGCCACTAGACATTGTCTGACCTTCGGGTGTTATGTCCCCCTGCCTTGATGTCCCATCTGTAACTGGGGTGCCCCGGGGGTCCCCATTGCAGGCTCACAAGCCTGCCTGTGCAGAGTTCAGGATGCAGCTGGCCACAGTGAGCTGAATGACCATTTCCTCATCAGCCCTGGGCCACTCAAGTTCCCCTCTGCCTGTTGTGTGGACCGCTGAGGCCCCCCATGGTGGTGCTCCCCTCCTGGGGACCACAGGAGACAAGCCGTGGGGAGTGCTGGCTCTGAAGTGCAGTTTGTGTGCAGATTATTTTAACAGGTGCACATGAGAAGAGCGCACATGATTCATTTGATGATGGGCATATTATCATCCATTTCATTCTCAGCTGGCTTCATGGTAATTACATTTCTGTGGTGCTTAATTCATAACTTGATCATTTGCACCGAGGCACATTGGGTATGGACCATGTGCTCCTAGGAACCTCCATGGGAGGTGCTCGGGCCACCTGCATCTCGGAGACCATGCCTGCAGGTGACGAGGCAAGGACATCAACCTGTGCTCATGGGGCACCTGCTCTGTGAGGCTCCCTGGGTGCTGGGAGGGACAGAGGCCTGAGACAGTAAGGACAATAGTGAAAGCTGACAGAACAGCCACACACCACACAACGCCATCACGGACTCATGATGCAACAGCGTCCCGGATTGTGACACTGTGTTGCTGCTGCATCTTCCTGTGTTTAGAGTGTTTGGAAACACACACTCACTGTCATGTGACAGGTGTCCACCATCCTCAGCCTAGCACACAGGTGTGTAGCCCAGAGTGTAGGCTGCACCACTCAGTCCAGGCGTGTGTTAGGCCCTGCCATCCAAGTGTGTGAGGACACTGGTGTTCATACTATGACATGGGCCAGTGACCCTTTCTCGGGATGTGTCGCTAGCATAGGTGATGCATGACTGCATGAGATTCAAGATAGTGTAATGTAATCCCAGCTCCCATGCACGCACTGATCCCTGACAGAATGGCGGCACTCACAGTCTCTGGGCAGACTCCGGCATCCTGGGCATCTTACTGGACTTTTCCGTGCCTCCCTCTCCCCACCTCCAGTAGGGCTGATACCACAGTCTCAGTTTCCTGGAGTGATGAAGACCAGAGTGCTGGGGTTACAAGAAGCGCAATGTGAGTGTTTATTAAAGAACTAAAAACATCCCCAGCTTTGCTTGACTGGTGGGGAAACAAAGGCACAGAGTGCTGGTCAACCTGTGACAGATACATGACTCCTTGCCAGCCCCTGCCAGGCTGCTCTGCCTGTCCTTGGGGAATATCTGTCCACAAGGCTTGGGGCACCCACACACCCAGAGACATGGGGCATTTGCTTGTAGAAGCAGAGCCCGGCCACTCTCACACCTGCTTGGTTA